TCCAACATGGAGATAACAGTCAGATCAGAGCAACGGTTTCCCACGAAGACCAGGTTCTTGTAGTTCTCCAACATCACCTCCCTGTACAAAACCCTCTGAGCAGGGTCCAGGCATTTCCACTCCTCCTTAGAGAATTCTATGACCATGTCCTTGAATGTCAGCTGTGCCTGGGGGGGTGCCATCCCTGACTTCTCTGTGGTCCTCCTCCTCCTCTTCCTGGGCTTCATTTCATGTAAAGGTACTATGAGTCTTCAGAAATCAACCCTCCAAAGAAAGGTACTGGGTGCTCTCGATGCAGTGCCTGAATTTACACGCAGTGGTGGTGGTGGGGGGCCGGGATCCTCAGGTCTGCAGGGACCCCAGAACCCAGGAACGTAGGTGCCAGGGCCACAAGCTAGGCTGTGTTGTAGCCCCACTCAAACTCACATGCTCAAACGTGACCTTCGCCCTATCGATCTTGTTTATCTTTTCAAATAACCAGTTTTTGCTTTCATTTATGTTCTGTATAATTCGCTTATTTTCTATTTCATTTATTTCTGCTTGAATCTTTATTATTTCTTTTCTCCTGGCATTTTTTTAGATTTTTTTGTTATTGTTTGTCCAATTTCCTGAGGCATGATTTTAGGTTGTCCTTTTGCCACTTTTCCATCTTTTTCTTGTGCATACTAATTTCTAATGAACGTCCCTCTTCTGACTGCTTTTGCAGTGTCCTGTAAGTTATGGAAACTTGAGTACTCATTATTATTTGTTTCCATGAATCTTTTGATTTCAGTCTTAATTTCTTCAGTAGTCATGAAGTCTTTCAGAAGTAGGTTATTTAGTTTCCATGTATTTGTGTATTCTTGAGGGTTTTTCCTGAGGTTAATATCAAGTTTAATTCCATCATGGTTGGAGAAGATACTAGATATAGTTTCTATGTCTTAGAATCTGTAAAGGCTGGCCTTATGCCCTAATCATGTGGTCAGTCTTCGAGAAAGTACCATGTGAGGCTGAGAAAAATGTTTATTTTGTGTTTTGGGGTGGAAAGTTCTATAGATGTCTACCAAGTCCATCTGATTTATGATATCATTTAGGTCCTGAATCTCTGCTTATTTTTTGTCTCGTTGACTTGTCTAAAGGAAATAATGGGGTTGAGATCTCCAACAATTATTATGTTACAGTCTATCTTTCCACTTAGACCTTACAGTCTTTCCTTTACATATTTGGGGGTGCTCCTAAGTTCGGTGCATAGATATTTATAAGTGTTATATCTTCTTGGTGAATTAGCCCTTTTACTACTATATAATGCCATTCTTTGTCTCTTTTTAAAGTTTTGTCTTAAAGCCAATTTTGTCTGAAATCAGTTATAGTAACTTCTGCTCTTTTCTGGTTTCTATTTGCATGGGATGCCTTTTTCTAGCCCTTCACTTTTAGTCTATGTATTTCTTTATCCATGAGATGGATTTCTTGTAGGCAGCAGATGGAGGGTTTCTGATTTTTAATCCAGTCAGCCAGTCTGTGTCTCTTGATCAGAGAATTTAATCTATTAACATTCAGTGTTATTATTGATATTTCCAGACTTGTCCCTAACATTAAGTTGGCCATATTCTTGACTTTTTTGTTCTCTTATTGTTGTCTGTCTGTCTTCAGTTTTCTTGGTATGGTACTTCTTTCAGAATTTCTTGAAGCACTGGTCTGGAGTTGATAAATTCTGTCATGTATTTTTTTAGCCAAAAACATTTTTATTTTATTTTCCCATATGAAGGATAATCTTGCTGAGTATAGTATTCTTGGTTGAAATTGTTTTTCATTTAACATTTTAAATATATTTCCCCAATCTTTCCTTGCTTGTATTGTATCCAATGAGAGGTCTGGTGTTAGCCTGATGGGGTAACCTTTGTAAGTGATTTGATGTTTCTTTCTTGCCAATCTTAGTATCTTATCTTTGTCTGTTGTTTTGGTCAGTATAGCTATGATGTACTGTGGAGAGGATCTTCTCGGATTGATTCTGCTTGGGGTTCTTTGTATTTCTTGAGTCTGGATGTTTGAGTGCCTCTCTAGACTTGGAAAGTGTTCTTCCAGGATTTCATGGAATAGATGCCCTTGTTAGTTTCTTCACCTTCTGGGATACCAATTATTCGGATATTGGGGCCTTTCATGGTATCTAGTATTTCTCATATATTAACCTCAGTTTTCTTGGCTGTTTTCTCAGTATTTTTGATACTTTTTTTCTATAACTAAGGTTTTGTCTACTACTTCTGAAATTTGATCTTCTGCATGGTCTAACCTGCTTTTAGTACTTTTGAGGGAACTTATAATTTCCTGTATTATAGCCTTCATATCTAACAGCTCCATTTTATTCTTTTTTATGATGTCCAATTCTTCTTTCATATTGTGGAAGGACCTCCTTATCTCTTGGAGCTCAACGTCTCTTTTCCCTTGCATCTCATAGAGTTTTGTTACCATAAATATTCTGAATTTTTTTTCTGACATTTTGGTAATATCCTTTAATATTTCCCTACTTGATTCTCTCATCCTTGAGGCTCTTCTCTGAGTTTTAGTCATTTGGTAATATATTGATTCCTGCTAACTTGTTGGAGAAGGATTCTGTGACTGTGAGCTCACGTGTTTCCCTTACAGTAAAATCATTTGGTGCTATTCTCTCCCTTCAACTGTATACTCTGATGCGGGAACAACAGGAGGAGTTTTGCAATCAGATTTACAAAGGGGAATTTCACTATTTTTGTAACCACTACAGTGAGGTGCAGAGAATTCTCTAAAATTCACAATGTTCAGGTGTTTAACTACTACGGACCTAGTCATCTCCAAGTAGTGGCTAAGGGCTGAGCAATAAAAAAGCAGGAAAGTAAGATAAGAGAAAAAGAAAGTAGGGAGTAGAAATAGGAAGAAAAAGCAGAGAAAAAAGAAGGAAAGTATATAAGAAAAAGGAAAAAAATTAGAAATCACATCACAGAAAATTAAATTGGGTAAAATATGGGAAACCACATGGTGCACAGGCCAACACAGACAGAGGTGGAGGTACCTGGACGCTTTCTGTCCTAGGTGAGGGAAGAGACAAATTAACAAGAAAAACACAAGCAGGGCAGAAAACTGTTTTTTTAAAAAGAGGGGGAAAAAAGTTATAAGGGATAGAGAAGAACAAGAGAGAGACACTTGCATATCTGACTAGCATTGGTCCTGGTGGGCAGGGGCAAGGGGGTGCTTCACAGCCATGGAGCTGAACTCAGAGGCCTGGCAGAGGCAGAGGTGGAGGTGCCTGGATGCTTTCTCAAATTCTTTCTTTAAACTCAGAAGTTGCTTAACATGTTGTATCTCATGGATCACTGATAATATTCATCTGCTAAACATTTACTAACTCAACAAATAATGCTTAATACATACTATGCCCAACTCAAAGTGATTAAGAAACAATTTCCACCCTTAAGACACTGACAGTTGGTGGTTCTTACCTAAAGGTATGGAATTTTCTTCCACACTCTGCCTCAGGACTTCCCATCCAAATCCCATTCCAGTTCATTGAGAACCTCTGATCAGGGAGAGGTTAGCATGGCTCTTTGTATGCTAGCCTAGAGATAGCACAAGGGCATGGAGGCAACCTCTAGGAGGCCAGAGGCTGAGGACCTGCAGGATTGCTGCTATTTGCTGCATGGTGGAGGATGGGTAAGAGGGATGGGGACCAGAGACAAGAGCTCAGGTTCAAGACCATTGCAACAGTCCTGGCAGAAATGGAGAAAATGGTATAGTTTAAACAGATAAGAAGGAGGTAAAATCTGTAGGCCTTTAGTCATCAACTGGAAGTCTAGATGGACTCCATGTTTCTCATTTGGGCAGGTGTTTTTAGGCTTGAGTCTTCTACACTATGCATGTGGTGGAGGGGTGGCAGGTTTGGAATATTTTTTGACAAGAAGTCCTTTCTTAACCACAGTTGCTTGTTTAGATCCTAAGTGTGTTACCATGGCCTGTGAGATGGTGGCAGAAATGGTTGAGTCTCTACAGTCAGTGCTGGCCTTGGGTCACAGCCGGAATAGCAGCATGCCAGCGTTTCTCACGTCGGTGCTCAGGAACATTGTCATCAGCCTGGCACGCCTGCCCCTTGTCAACAGCTACACTCGTGTGCCTCCCCTGGTGAGTCTGGCTGTTCTTTACAAAAGACCAAAGAAAATCACACATATAGGCAAGCCTATGGGCTGGGCGTGTTCCAGGGGATAAAACAGAATCTCAGCTGCTCAGACATTTGCTGTGGCCAGAGTCTATGGCTGTGACACCTGTCTGGTTTCTTCAAGCATAATGCATAGGTTAGTTTATAGAAATACTAGTTTTTCTCAAATGAAGTGAGACATCACATTGCTAAGTAAGTTTTATTTGCCATTGATAGATTAATATTAGACATGATTCTAAAGTAATTAGAGTGGCTAAATAGTAGACCAGAAATTATACCTCTTTAAGTAACTATTTTCCTTTAAAAATAGTCACCTTTGGAGAATATTCATGCATGCCTGCATAAACACTTTTGTGATTCCTCTCTTGGGAACTATTTTCAAAATTAGTTTAAAATAAACATTATTGACCAGGACTGTTTATTTCAGATAGCACATAGAGGTTAGCTTGAGGAAGGAAAGGGATTTTGGAAGCTGACTGACCTCTCAGCCCAATGAAATCATATAATTTTTCCTACAGCCTGCAGAAATTGTATGATGGGATGTACTAATGAGTGACAACAAAGTCCTCAAGCAGGAAAGAAAGGCTGATTCATGCAGAGCTGGGCAGAGGTTAGCCAGAACAGGTTAGCCAGCTCTCAAGGGCAGGTGTTTGTTTCTGTCTCAGAAGGGTACAACCTGCCACTGGGGCATACATGGGTGTGTACACGGGCACATATGTGTGTGTTTGCCTGCATGTGTGATTCTGAGGGAGTTTGCACCAAGGAAGTAATATTTGCTCAGTCCCGAGGTATTAGGAGGATTTAGCTGTGGAGAATGAAGGAATTTCAGATGACAGATTTATTCTAAAGGAAAAGCCCAGTGGCCTGCTGATACTGGAAGCAGTTGCCAGTCAGAGAGCTGTAGGCATTTTAGGCAGATATAAGGAAGAGCCCTGGAGGAGGAGGGCACTGTTGGCATCACTGTGCAGGGTGTCTCAGTCCATTCTCCACGCAGGAGAAACTGCTGTGGCTTTGCTAGCATGTAGTTCTAAGTTTTTGGAGGGGTGCAGGGAGGCGATGCAGGAAGGGTTGGTCTAGAGATCATGCTGTCCAGCTTGCACTCAGTGATACACAAGCTCAGGCTGTTTGTTGTAAATAAAACTCCTCCAGTAAGGGCTGCCAGTCCATGCTAGGCAGCATGCTCAAGTGCCCTGACCAGGGAGGCAACGGCGAGAAGTGCCTCAGACTCCCTCTGGGAATGTACCAGAGGGTTTTGTAAAAAGCTAAGAGATGTAGAGAGTGGTGAAGTGAGAGCTTTTCTTGCTATTATCACAATAGCCCCTCTGCTCTTGCACGATGGGGCCACAGGAATCCAGAGTGGGGCTCTCAGTCTGCGCTCTACTGGGTCCTCTGTTACTTCATTGACAAGATGTCAGCAGAGCTAGCCAGATAATCAGATGGTCGTGCTACTGGTGCAGCACCGGGACTGCCTGAGGGGATCCTTCTGTGCACAGTGCTTGTCTGAGTACGTCATGGACACAGAACTGGATTTCATGAAGTTTACAGAAATGGACATGTATGGCTTTTTTTTGGTCCCTGCTTGCCCATTAAGCTTTATATATGAGACTCAACTTTATTTGATACTTGCCTTTTTCTAACACATCATCTTTTACTTGTGGGTGAGGGGTGCTGTCTGTAACTGCTGCCTATCTCTACCAGCATCTTCAAACAAACCTGTCACAAACCAGCTGAGCGGGCTATGCTGGCAGTGGCAGGGGTGAGTGGGCAGAGCAGACATGGGTGGTGCACTCGATGGGGAAGGAGGTTCTCATGGAAGGAGTTAGAACCATCCTCTGGGGAAGGTGATCGCTGCTGTTGGAAAGTCTGTGGGAACAGTGAAGAGGCAGTTGGCCCAGGGGAGAGGCTGAGCAGAGAGAAGTGGTTTTTCTTGGTTTCCTCATTTTGTGTTTGTAATCTTATTTCTCTTTCATCTTCTCAGGTGTGGAAATTAGGATGGTCACCCAAACCTGGAGGGGATTTTGGCACAGCATTCCCTGAGATCCCTGTGGAGTTCCTCCAGGAAAAAGAAGTCTTTAAGGAGTTCATCTACCGCATCAACACACTAGGTACTCTTGCGGTCTCTCCTTAAGGACCATCAGACACCATCAAATTGCTGCTGTGGGGAAACCCAAAACTGCAGCACTGGGGGCTTCTCATTTGACTCCAGAAATGATTTAGGACACAATAATAACATAAGCCTATGTGATGCATTTTACGGTATATACACAACTCCTTGTTGTGGTGAGAAATTAGATTCAAGTGTGAGTGTTTATGTGAGAGAGAGTGTGTTTAATCTCAGGTTTTTATATAACAGACTTTTTTGAATTCAGGAGAAGTATAGGTATAATTGATAACATAAAGTAAAATTCTATGTATTATTTAAACTCCTTGAGAAGCTGGCTTTAGATTCCTGTTCATAATCAAATGAACTAAATCTTTCACTACCACTCTTTCAAGCTAATAATGGTAGTGATTATCAGAATGTTTTCTTGTGTTGACCATTTTGATCTGTTGTGTTCACACTGATGTCATTTTCTCACATGGAATGAGCAGGCTGGGGAAAATGGTATGTTAAGTTTCTTGATACTAACCCACCCTGGGAGCCTGGGGAAAGAATGGAAAGAAAGTAGACTTGGGAGTCAGATAGCCCTGGTCTCTGCTACTAACCCTCTTAGCTGTGCAGTACAGGGGAGGTTATTTAATCCTTAGTATCCTTAGTTTTGTCATCTGTAAACTGGAGATCATGCCTATTTCATAGAATCGTTGCAGATTTGGAAACTGAAAAGATTTAGCACATCTAGCAACTAACGTAATATCCCAACAAATGGGAGCATTAGCAGCTTTCCTATCAGGATTCTTCTCTGGTTTCTGAAGAACAAAGTCGCTTCTTTTTGTCCTCCATTTTATGGCTGGAGGTATGATCTAAGGGTGAGGCTGTAATCAGTAAATCCTAAGTAGCTGTATCCTGCTGTGGCATTTCCTGGAAAGTTTAGCAAGGGTACTCTGACTCCACTGTCTGTTCCATAACTTAGTTCCTTGGTCTTCTGCTGATTTTGTGCTTATTTTGAATCTCGAAGCTTCTAGCATCAGCTACCTTATTGCTTGTACATTCTTCTTTAGTCATCTAGACAGTTCATTTGAATCTGAGCCGGATCTAAAGCCAGCTACTTTAAGGAGCTTTCCTTCTGAGCTCTCCTAAAGATTGATATCAGGTAGCCTCCTGGTCTGTTTCCCCTTGCCAAATGCCAGCTTTTTTTCTTCTTTTTTCTCTTTAAATATTCTAGCTTTTTTACTTACTTAAGATATCCTTGTTCCTAAATTGTCAGTCAGACTTTCATGGTCCTAGATGGTTCTATAGTCTTTTCCTGATATTTGCCTTTGCCCCTGCCATATCTTTGTTCCTTTTTTTCCTTACGTAAATTATCATGTATGTCTGTCTGTATATATATGTGTGTGTAACAATAAGTGTGGGAATGCAGAGATCTCTGTGACACACCAATTTCCTTTCTTTTGGATATATACCCAGTGGGAAGGATTGTTAGTGACAAGACAGTTATATATTTTGTTTTTTGAGGAAATTTCATACTATCTTTTTATAATGATTATTCCAATTTACATTCCACCAACAATGAAAAAGAAATCTCCTTTCTCCACACTCTTACCGGCATTGCCTCTTTTTCTTTTCTTTTCTTCTTTCTTTTCTTCTCTTTTCTTCTCTTTTTTTTTCTTCTTTTTTCTCTTTAAATATTCTAGCTTTTTTACTTACTTAAGATATCCTTGTTCCTAAATTGTCAGTCAGACTTTCATGGTCCTAGATGGTTCTATAGTCTTTTCCTGATATTTGCCTTTGCCCCTGCCATATCTTTGTTCCTTTTTTTCCTTACGTAAATTATCATGTATGTCTGTCTGTATATATATGTTGTGTGTGTGTTGTGTGTGTGTGTGTGTGTATATGCACTGTCTATACATATATATATACACACACACATCACTTTAAATCAGTCTCTCTCTTTCTTATTTTTTTTCCTATATCCAGTTTACCAAGGAGATCCCGACACTTGATGCTTTAGTTTTCCTGTCCTCAATAGCCCTCCTCCCCAGTCCTGTCACTTGTGGCCTTAATACAAGAGGCCTGGGCTCCACCACATGGGTTGAGATGAGTACATTAAGCACAGCCCTCAGAAACAACTGTTCACCGAATACCACTCTGAATGTAGCTCATTGATGATGTACTTGGACTTAGCCTGTCAGATGTGTTTTCTCTGAATATTGGACTCTTCCTATCTAGATTACATTTTTTAACCTATTATTTTAGATGGAATCTGAGAAACCATTGCTTTACCTTTTTCATTTTTAACAGCTTGAGAGATAGAATTCATATACTGAACAGTTTACCCACTCACAGTGTGCAGTTCAGTGATCTTTAGTTCAGCTCACAGAGCTGTTAGCCCTTAGTTCAGTCTCGAGGTTTGACTTCATGAAAGGCTTTAAGTTACCTGGTGGTTCCAACCTTGTTCAAGTAGAGCCTGCTTGGACATCTCCTTTCTGTCATTGTGTCTACCTAGCAGGCTGCCTTGGCTTTTCTCAGCCTCTGCCACTTGTCACATGGCCTTGGACAACATAGCCGACTTCTGGGTGCTTCAGTTTCCTCTTTGATAAAATGGAGAGAACAGTGTTCCCTTTGTCACAGACTTGTCATGAGGATTAAAGGACTGTATGTGGGTCCTTGGATTAATACCAGTTTCAGGGTCAGTGCTGTATGGACACATCCATCAGTATTATGTCAGTAAAGCTCAAAAGGGTTCAAACTATCTCCATAATGTTTATATTCCTAGGGTGGACCAGTCGCACCCAGTTTGAAGAAACATGGGCCACGCTCCTCGGTGTTCTGGTGACCCAACCCCTCGTGATGGAGCAGGAGGAGAGCCCACCAGAAGTAAGGCCGTACTGATCTTGACTTTGCTGCCTGGCACACGGGCAGTTATAGCAGTTTGTAAATCTTCGTTGGTGGCTGAGTAAGAGGAAGGCAGTAGGCTAATGTGTTTCTGCCTGAAAAGAGTAGCGGGGTTGTATCTGGACTAGTATTTCAGAGCTGGGACAAATCTCCTCAAGGTTTTGGAATCTGAGGTTGCAAGTGGTTAGAGTGAATTTACTATGGTACATTCCATGCTAAGAATCAGTAAGATTATGCCCTTTTTTGAAAACAATTCTTTTTTATTGCCAGAGGGCACATTCACTTACCAGAGAAAGAGAGGGAGAGGAAGGACAAAGCACTACCGAGTAAGGTGTTATCATACCACAGTCCCCTCTCCTTGTCTTCATTCTGTTGGTATTTGGGGCACACACACGTGCCCAGCATGTTTTTTAGGCTGCTGGGGCTGATCGACCATATGGGATCTGACTCCCTTAATCACTAGGCTATCGAGTCAGCCCAAAAGTGTTTTAAGTTAAGTTCTGTTTATGTGTCTATATTCAGAGAGTATGGGTTGAATTAAAAATGAAAAACCTCTTGGGGCCAGCAGATGGCATGGTGGTTAGGGTGCTGGACTCTCACATGGCTGACCATGGTTCAAGTCCTGGGCCTGGTGGGTTGCTTTCTCATTCTCCCTCTCTCTCTGACTCTGTCTCTCTCTACTCAAGTGGAATAACACTACTACTAATAATAAATAAAATTAAATAATTTAATAAAAAAAAAGAAAAAGAGGCTCTTTGTAAAGGTATGTATCTATACCTGGTTTCATTTTATTTATTCATTCATTCATTCTTTCATTCATTCCATGAGAGAGAAAGTTAGTTAGTTTTCCCCCCAGTAGGGAGGATGGATCTCATGGTGCGATCCAATCCCAGCCTTAGCCATCCAAGAGCATGGGCACACATGTATATCCAGTGTGTACAGGGAGACATGAACCTCGAATTTTCCCATATGGCTTCAGCATTGCAGAACATTGTATCACCATTACATCACCATTTTTTCAATTGCTTTGCATAGATTTTATCAGACTTCTTGAACTGGTAATGTATACTTCATTAATGCGATATTTATAACAACCATGTTCTTGTAAAGCAAAGCCTAATGTATTAAAAGTCATGGTAGAGGGGCCAGCACATGGCGTAGTGGTTACATCACTGAACTCTCATGTAGTCAACCGTGGTTCAAGTCCTGGACCCGGCTTTAAACTCACACCGGGCACATGTGTGTGTGTGCCCAAGATCCTGAGAGAATGAAAGAGAAGGAATTGTGACATGACCATGCCCCCTGGGGGGTGATTTTTCCTTTTTTTGTTTCTCTGTCTCTCGGGTGAGCATATGTGCCCTATAACAAAAACATTCTCTTAATAAAGAAAGAGGCATGGGGTATAAGCCCTTGGTTTCTAAAAGAAGGTGTGGTATGAACTTCGAGAAATTACAGTTGAAAGGGGAGGCATGAGTTAAATGATCAAGGTTGTCTTTAAATTCATCTGTATGGCCAGCTCACTAGCATGTGCGAGATACTGCTGCTTAGCAGGCCATAGGCCCCTGGGAGGCCCAGATTTGATTCTTGGACCACCCTAAAAGGCTGAGCAGAGCAGTGCACACCGGTGGTCCCAGCTATTTAGGTTGTTGAAGAAGTCGTGACTCATTTTTGCATAGAAAAATACATCATGACTTTTCTGACGACTCAATACTTAAGAGGCTGAGGCAGGAGGATTACTATACAATAACACCCCATCTAAATTACCACATATTAAAAATGTTTAAATAAATTCATCTATAGAAACCAATAGGCAGTGCCATTAAAAGTTGGGAGAATGTTTAAGGACAGGTTTTTTGTGGGTTTTTTTTGGTTTTTTTTTTTTTGAGAGGTTTTTGCTATAGGGCACGTGCACTCACCAGACAGACAGAGACATAGAGACAGAAAGCGAGAAATCACCCCCCAGAGGGAATGGTCACGCTGCAATCCCTTCTCCTCCATTCTCCTCTCGGGATCTTGGGCACACACGCACATGCGCCCGGCGTGAGTTTTAAGCCACCGGGTCCAGAACGCGAACTGCATTCGACTACGTGGGAGTCCAGCGACATAGCCATTACGCTAACTGCTGGTTCCCTAAGGACAGGTTCTTAAAATGCAAGTCATATCTGGAGTTTGTGGCCATAGCAGACTTTGCTTTGAAGAGTAGTCATTTGCCCATCAGATTCGTTTTAAGGCACAGTTGTTCAGAGGCTGGCTGAGGGAAGCCACGTCTCTCCATGACATTCAGCCTTCCTGTCTTTCCCCCTGAGAATATGTGTCCCTTTAGGCTCTGCTTGCAGATGGAGGCAGGTTTGCTATTTGTATCTCATTGCTCATGTTGTGAATATGTGGGGGCTCCTTCCAGGAAGACACAGAGAGGACACAGATCAACGTCCTGGCTGTGCAGGCAATCACCTCCCTGGTGCTCAGTGCGATGACCGTACCTGTGGCTGGCAACCCAGCTGTGAGCTGCTTGGAGCAGCAACCCCGGAACAAGCCCCTGAAAGCTCTTGATACCAGGTTTGCCTGAGTTCTCATGTATCTCCAGGGCTCTAACTCTACCCAGGTGACCAGCACATCCACTTGGGCCCTTTCCCTTGTTGCCAGAATTAGAAAAACAACGCGGTACATGTGGCCTTGCTGTGAAAGATGCAGATTTGAAAGTGATATTCTGGCCAATGAGAAGTTGAAAATACAATGTGAAATTGGGGTTGGGGGAGGATCACTGAGTGTTTAGGGGCAAACTGTAGCAGAGCAGCAATGAACAAGCTAATAGAACATCTGCATGAGGTTCATGGCAGGAATTAACTTCCAGAAGAAGTTCCATTGGGTAATGTACAAGGCTCCTTCGGACAAAGTGGAAGGGAAATCCTGATGTTTTTCACTTGTAAACTTGAAGGAAGCAAAATATTCTTTACCTGTGTTCTGAATTTTAGGTTTGGGAGGAAGTTAAGCATTATCAGAGGGATTGTAGAGCAAGAGATCCAAGCAATGGTTTCCAAGAGAGAGAACATTGCTACCCATCATTTATACCAGGCCTGGGACCCTGTTCCTTCTCTGTCTCCGGCTACTACAGGTACCTTGGGGAAAGCGACTGTTTTTCTTGGGCGAGCTAGAATGAAAATATAGCTCACACACTCATGTCCCACACTGACTAGGCAGGAAAACCCAAGTTGTGGTTTTATTTGGATGTTGTGTTGCTAAATATGTTGCCCCAGTTTGTAAGTAGGAATCTCATTCAAGCCCAGAAAAATTTTACAGTTGGGAGGGAATAAAATCTAGAAATGTACCAGGAGCATTCACTCCTACCAGTCAAGTCGTAGGAGGCAAAAAGTTCTCAGAAGCTGAAAGACTTGACAACCTACACAAAATTTAAAAGCTGAACTAGTAACTTACATTAAAAAATAACCGTTCCTCTAAACTTTGTGAGTCTTCAGCTTCTTGTGTGAAACCCTATATGGCATGAGCGTGGCAACCTGTGCTGAGCCTCTGTCCCCCATCCCCAGGTGCTGGGCTAGGTAGGTACACACTCCACCTGTACCTCCTGTACCTTCGAGTTGTGTGCCCTGTGACAGTCACTGCAGTGTGTCCCCTGGGCAAAGAAGGGAAATTTGTTGAACAAGCAGTATTTCAGCATAGTGTTTATGATTTCCTAGCTTTTTGGGAGCTGTTAGGTGCTGTGAGTTTACACACCTGAAGACACCATGAAAGGAAAGGTCTTATGTGGAAGTGTAGTGCGTTATGTGTCTCCAAACATACATCAGGGCATCAAAGTAAACTGAGCCCATAAACTTGGATGACCGTTCCTCCAGTCCGTGAGGAGCTTATGGACCAGTGGAATCAGTGAGAAATGGCGTAACTGTCAGAGAAGGCAGCAGAGACTGGGGAGTGGGAGAGGCACACACGGATGACTCCAGGAGGTCTGAAGAAGGCAGAGACTTCAGGGAGAGAAGTCAGGGATCCTCTTAAAAGAGGGTTGATGCTAGATCTGACAGATTTGGCTACAGACATTGAGCTGGGAGACTTGGGGGCTTGTTGATAGGTATGGGAAAATGGTACCTGGCAGGAGGAAGTCATTAGGTCTGTGGCATGGAGGGTATGAAAGAGGGGTCCAGTGTGGTCATTATTATCCTATGTCCTTTGTCTGTTGGACAACCTGGGCATGAAAACAGGGCTCAGAAAGATAGTCCACCAAGATGACTGTCTAGGTTCCTACTTGGGCTTGCCTACTTGGACCATCACCTCATGTGCAACTCCTGACTGTTAAGCTTTTGCAACTCATGCCATAGCCGACTCCCATTCACAGAGTTGGAAACTGAGCAATGATCGATGAATGCTGCAGTCTTATTTGATATAAAGAAAACATGGTAGTCCAGTTTGCCCACTGTCATTGCCAGGTTAATGAATTGTAAAACAGTGACAGAGAAAACCCCCAAGACCCACAGGTCTCTGCAACCTAGGCCAACCTGCCAGTGGTGAGGGCATATGGCTAATGGGCGGACAGCTGCCTAGCAAGACCTGGGCTGGTACCAGGGATGGCATGGGGAAGCCTGCAGCTCTGCACTCCTCTGGCCTGCACAGCCTTGCAGGAGTGTGCAGAGCATCACTCACAATGTTGTTGCTTTGCAGGCACCCTCATCAGCCACGACAAGCTACTGCTGCAGATTAACCCCGAACGAGAGCTGGGGAACATGAGCTATAAACTTGGCCAGGTCAGTCTCTCCAACTCCCACATCACTGACCTCGGTCTTTGTCATCTCTCCTCAGAGTTCTACTATGTAATACAGCTAGAAGAAAAGTTAAATGTACCTTTTAATATAAGAGGAAGATTTGTCTTTATTTATGTTTCTCATTCCAGAAAGGTTTTAAGATATTTCATAGACTAGGTAGTGTAGTTGTGTATAAAACCCGGTGAAATGGTGCTAGACTTAGGTCAGAGTATGGGCACAGAACAACAAAGGCGAGGACACAGCAGGGACTCAGATGAGAGCAGCTCAGTGGAAGAGAGCAGCAGGAGGGTCTTGCCCCGAGGGAAGCACAGTGACATGGCCTCAGTGTGCAGATGGCAGCCCAGCGCTACAGCAGGCACTACGGTTCCCGTGTCAGAAAAATAGGGGCATCCATGCACTCAGTGGCACACGCCACCACGCTGCTGCGTGAGCGCTCGGACGGACTCGATCAGTGCTGTGCCTTTCTCTGCCCACGGCTGTTTTCCTTTCTGTGCTGCTAGATTATTTAGAAACCATCTGTGCAAAGATAGTTCTATTTCTAGCTTTTGTTTCAGAAGAAACTGTCAGCATATTGTTTGGAAATACTTGGTAGTTCTGAGAGGTTCCTCCTCTAAGCTCCGGCACACAGCTTTCACGACAGAGCTCACAGGACTTTATGCCAGTGTCCCTGTCCCCTGCTCTTTGCCTGGATGGCGTTCCTCTGGTCTCCTTCTGAACCCAATAGCTGACTGCAGGGAGCTGCTGCACCGGCTTGTACTTTTCTAGACTCAGTTGGAAAAGAGTCCACAAACTTTATTTTTTCACCTGTGCAGAGGAATTTCAAGTGAAAGTGACCATTAGCATGTAACATAATATTTATGAAAGCTTGTTGCTGAAGGACATCTGTGAGCAACACATCTGGGGCTCGCTAGGTGAACATGGTCTTGTTCTGGCTCTGCAGTTGAGCTGTTCCTCTGGTTCTATTGCATTTGTCTTATGCTGCCTGCCTCCTTCAGTGTTTATGTCCACATCTGCCGTCCATGAGCTGATCATAGTGGGATTACATTGGTACCGAAATACAATTCCACCCTTGCTCTGTCTGGGATATCTGTCAGCCCCAGTGCCACTATGGTGACCACCACTTGCTTTTAAGAAGTAGGGTATATGGGCTGAGGGGAGTAGGAAGTGCAGGGGCTGCTGTTTCTTGCCCTGAGAATTGCCCTTACAGACTCAGAGCTGTCCTGCCAGCTGCCTACTCACTGCAGGATGCTAGCATCGAAGGGAGAAGTGGCTAGTGACTAGTGTTAGTGCTGATGGGGAAGTTGTTGGTGGCACACAGCCGCTGGCCGCTGTGCTGAATGCTAGAGGGTTTCCAGAGAATGCGGCAGAGGGAGGACATGTGCTAGTGCTACACCGGCTATTTGAGCTGCGACATGGGTTATGGAGAGCTCTAGCCCACCTGCCAGGGACGGGTACCTTTGTGGGGACAAGTTTCCTGTTCTGCCAGCGTCTGTCTCTGCCTTACTGCAGGGCCTCACATTCCTTTCCACCCACCATCTCCAGAATGAAGGCATTGCCTTTTGTTTTCAGGGGGCTTTTTAAGCAATTAGTATAGACAAATGGGATTTACCACAAATGACTGCAAATGAGAGAGAAACAACTCTGAAAAGAAATCTCATGAATGGGTTCCATGCTTTGTTGGGACTTCAGTCAGATGACATTTAGTAGCTGACGTGTTTCTTCTTAGAGCCTCTTCCTTCTCTGCTCCTCAGCTGCTCCTGTGGGGTGTTTATCCCTTCTTCTAGGTCTCTAGCCTTAGTTGAAGCAGTCTAGTACCCGGCCTCACCACTCCGTGAGCTCCTCTGCCTGTAGCCTGGTGGGCCTGAATGACCCCTGCTAAGGGATAGACCCTTCTGACAGCGGAATTTGGTTGAGCCCAGTGCAGGGTCCAGGCTCCACCTGCCAACAGGAACCTGACTGACGCCTTTGCCCTGAGCACTGAGTGAGTGTCTTGTTTCTGTGCCAGGTGTCCATACATTCTGTGTGGCTAGGGAACAACATCACACCCCTGAGAGAAGAGGAGTGGGACGAGGAGGAGGAGGAAGAGGCTGATGTCCCGGCACCTTCATCACCACCCACATCTCCAGTCAACTCCAGGTTTCCCATTAGCCTTCTTTTTTCAAGCAATTTGAAATTTCTTTTTTTCTCCTTTATGAGAGAGAGAGAAAGGGTAGGCAGGGAAAAGGGGATAGACAGAGATAAACTTTATTTATTTATTTTTTAAATTTCTTTCTTTCCTGAGTAGGAGAGAGAGCACTGCCAGCAGTCTCAACATCACCCTCAGCCTCTGCCCTGGCTCACAAGTGCACTCATGCCCAGTATACATAGGGAGGTCTCCGGATGCAAACATGGAATCTTCGTGTGTGTGTGTGTGTGTGTGTGTGTGTGTGTGTGTGTGTATGTGCGTGTGTGTGTGTGTGAGCCTCCCAGAGTAGTGCTTTTTACTGCTGTAGCACCATCTGGCCCCAGACATAGGCATTTCGGACAGGGTGTTGCAGTCATGATTGTCCTGCCCCAGCTCCCAATTAGCTAGGATAGTAAGTGCACCCAGCTGTGCTCAGCATGCTCAGGCTGTCCTAGGAACCAAACCTGGATCTCCCATGTAGCTGCCAACTTCCTAACCAGTGGTGCTACCTGTATACCACCATGGCTGGGCTGAAATTGCTTATTAGCCATTTGATTTGCTAGAAATGGGCCTCTCTTTTTGTGGTCAGGGGAAATAACCATCTTGCATGCTCTGCAGGAAACACCGGGCTGGAGTTGATATCCACTCCTGTTCTCAGTTTTTGCTTGAATTGTATAGTCGCTGGATCCTGCCATCTAGTTCAGCCAAAAGGACCCCGGTCATCCTGATCAGTGAAGTGGTTCGATCTGTAAGTTTGCTTTCCTCCATTTACCCTTAAACATGTATGTGTCCCCTACACACTACACAGATACACACCACACACACCACAGACATGGTTTATAATCTTTCAAAACCTATGAAGGCTCTCTTACACATTCACAGATCCAGGACAATAAATGAGTATTCCTGCAATTGGTGAAGGAACAATTTTTTACATTTCTGATCCATGGTGGATTGTTAGCTTCTGTTTTCTTTGGTTTTAGGTTTTTGCCATAGGGCATGTGTGCCCACTGGAGAATGACAGAGGCAGAGAGAGGGAATGTGAGAAATCATCCTCCACCCAGGAGGATGGCCATGCCACAATCTCCTTTCCTCCATTTTCCTCCTGGGATTTTGGTCACATATACACACACACCCCCCTGGTCTGAGTTTCAAGCCATGAGATCCAGGATTTGAGCTGCAATCAGCCCTGTGGAAATCCAGCACCTTCTCCACCTGCTGGCCCCAGGATTGATTTTTTAAAATGTAGTAGAGATGTCATAGAAATGTCCAGTTGCTATCAAAATTCTGATTCTGAAGGCTCATCTTTCTTGTCTGTCTCATCCAGGGCCTGAGACCAATAGTCTCATGTCTGAGGGCCCCACATCTGTGAAACCCCAGTTCAGAGCAGTAGTTCCAGATTGTTAATCTCAATGTCCTTTCCACTCTTCAGTTAGTGAGGACCCCAAAGAGAATATGTTTCTGTGGGTTATATCAGTATTTACAGAATTAGAAATCAGAGCCGAAAAGTTTAGAAATGATGGTAATCATTTTTGTAAATAATAATAATTTTTAAAAATCAGTGAGAATAGCTTTGTGATATTTTTGCAAATCCCTTTAATGCTTGGCTAATTAGAAAAAAGTAGATTCTCACATCTGTTCTACATTCAGTATATTAATATCATGTAATCTCTGGAAAATTTCATCATATATTTAAGAGAGGAGGATAAAAAGGCAGATAGCATCTTAGCGTTGTTATGGAAATAGTTTTGACTTCAGAGTCTCCTGAGCTTCCTGAAAAGGTATCAGGTATCCCAGCTGTCCTCAGATAACTCCTTGACTGCCAGTTTAGATGACTGACTTACTCTAGCCCTGCTTATAGCCTCCAAGGAAAGGCCAGTGCTACCCCCGCTAACACATTCTACAGCATAGGGGTGTTCACACCTGATTGAGATCCACTTTTCAGCTGTAAGGTGGAGAACTGAATATCAGGGAAGGGTGTTCTTGAGAGACAAAGAGAACAGTTGCCAAGCATTTACTTCTTTCATTTTTCTCTTCTCAGGGGTTCAGAGATCTTACCCTATTACACTATAGGAAGGGCCTGGTATTTTGAAAAATAACAGGTGTAGCCCTTTTCAGTGGTAACTGCCTGTGGGTATGTGTTCCCACACAGGTGGTCCTAAGCTCACCCCCATCTGTGACGTATGTGCAGAGGAATTTTTTTTTTTGAAGAGAGAGTTTTGGACACATGCACTTGCTGGAAAGACAGATAAAGAAATGGAAAGCAAGCAAAGCAATCACTTCCAAGGCAGGATGGCCATGCTGCAATCCCTTCTCCACCGTTCTCCTCTTGGGATTTTGGGCATGCATGTACACATGCCCAGTGTAACTTTTAAGTTGCCAGGTCTGGAACTCAAACCGCCATTGACTATGTGGGAGTCCAGTGATGTTACCATTATGCCATCTTGTCCCTGCAGAGGACTTTTTAACAAGACATGCCGTGACCAGTGTCTCCTCACGTTATGTGTTGTACCTGGTATATTAGGTTTTCAGGTTATTTTTGGTCTCTTCACTTCAGGGCTCCTGTGTTGGATGTTGGAACATACAACATTCCAGTATGCCTTTTTATATTCCTAATAGCAGAATCCTCCCCCTTTCTGTTCTAACTTTCTGTGTCTCCAGCTCCTGGTAGTCTCAGACTTGTTCACTGAACGCAGCCAGTTTGAAATGATGTACTCAACCCTGACAGAACTGCGGAGGGTGCACCCCTCAGAAGATGAGATTCTCGTACAGTACTTGGTACCTGCCACCTGTAAAGCAGCTGCTGTCCTTGGAATGGTGAGTGCGATCCTTAGAATGGAGGCTGTCTATGCTGCAGCCACTTGGACCCACTCTGGATTGGGACCTAGTATTGGCCGAATGTGCTGGGCACGGACACATCCTCCAGAGGCCCATCCTGAACTGCATTCCCATGGCACATAGCCAGCTGGGAGGTTCTAGCTCCTGTGGTTGCCATTCCATAGACCACTCTGATGTATATAGTGGTGGACAAGCTATGGTGGTGCTTAGATGCCTCTTGGTGTGTTGTATTGTTACAGTAGCTGTCACCACTGGACACAGGTAGGGACTCAGGATAGAGGATGGGACACAGCATAGAGGGTGGCTTCTCCACAGTCTGTCCTTTGTCCTAGTATCCCCCACTCCTCTTTTCTGATGTGTTTCATGCCCCCAGTGCTTCATGGCTGACATAGCCTCCCACTAGGGTGACAGTCTTATCAGGATAACCTTGGATTTCAGCTCCTGAAGTCTGGATATTGGAGCTTACCATGGGGTGCCATGTAAAATCTCCTAGACTGGAACCTTGGATTTCAGCTCCTGAAGTCTGGATACTGTAGCTTACCATGAGGTGCCATGTAAAATCTCCTAGACTGAGTAATTTATAAGCACCAAGCATTTATGACTCACAGTTCTAGAGGCTGATAAGTTCAAAAAGTATCAGGATACCAGTAACTTTAGTGTCTTGTAAGGGCTTAGTCTGCTTCATAGATCACACCGTCTTTTTATATCCTTGCCTGGTGGAAGGAGCAAAAAAGCTCCTTCAGCTTCTTTCATAAGAGGCCCTATTCATGAGGGTGAACCCCACTTGGCTGTACTTAGGGACTAAGTTTCAACATTCATTGGGGGGCGAGGCACAACATTCAAACTCAAGAGGGTCATACTCAAGGGTCTAATGGTTGTTTTTTTAAAGGAACCATTATCCAGTTTATCAGAGTTCACCTGTGCAGCATGGCACCCAGATTCCATGCACAATCACTGCACAGCATTAGCTGAACATGTCAGATATATACACGAAAGTAATCATCAGTTTCATAATGGCCCCTCCATTCGTTAGAGCACATTAAAGGATATCAGTACTGCCATTAGAGAAAAAAAGCTCCAAACTGTCAGAACTGGTGTCTCTCTGCACTTTGCTATATGTATTTCTTATTCAGATGTCTCCTGGAATCCATTTTTATGATAGCAATGAAAAAATGATATTGCTATGTGCTAATCGTTCAGGCCCCTGTCCTCAGTGGTGTCATTGCTGCTGTGTCCTCTCCATGTTCCACATACTGTCCTATCTGCCAGTAGTGACAACACTGTTGTGATGGTGATCGTGTTTGCTGCTACCACAGCCACTAGCATTTGCAGAGCTCGTCCTCTCATACCCTCTCCAACCCTGTCCACAGTCTGACAAAGGCACCTAGGGATGGCTGAGGACAGGTTAGCTGCCTTTTCCAGGCCACATGGGATATGGCAGAGGTTGGGGCAACTCCACATCTATTACTTAGAACCCAACCCTTAACCGTCTTCCACTGCCTTCTCATGGACCCTGTGCACTAGAGCAGGTATCATCCGTCACGGGTGGCCTTCATCTTGGTGCCACGCTGATGACTGAGAAGCCATCCAGGGAGCAGAAACAATGAGTGCATTAGTTTTATTTGTGTGAATACATCTCTTCAAAGTAAATACCCTCTGGGTGTTGCCGAGATGATGTCAGAGCAACTGAGCTTGTAAGGGTCCTTTTTTCTTTGTGGGGAGTTCCAGCCACTGGGTTCACGTTAATCATAATTGTGTTTTTGTGCCCAGGCTCAGACCCCCTGGGCACATGTGCTGTCAGTAAATTAAGTAACAATAACCTTTTAAAACAGATCCTTAGGCAGAGTGATGCATGCACAAGAGTCCCAGTTCTGTGTGCATGAACGTTTTTCCTTGATGATGGTCATCTTCTGGGAAGGTTCTCAGCATCTTGTACATTGGTACAGACAGTATTATTTCCAAAGTAGGTCCTTTTCTTTTGAGAGGTTCACCTTCTCTTTTGGAATCTTCACCCTTGACAGGTCCTGGTGCTATAGTTTCAGAAGTGGGACCTGGAGGCAAGGGTGGGAGCAGTCCTTAGAATGCATCACACACCACCTTTGTGAGTGTGGATAGGGATAGCACAAAGGTCAGGTAGGGACACAAGAAGGAAATGATCAACCAAGAATGCCCTCCTCCTTCAGTCAGAGACCATGAAGACCTGGAATCCCACAGAAGACTGGATGGCCAGATGGACTCTTGTTGCTTTTGTGGAATGAGATTAGGCTCTCAGCCTTTTCACAGGGGGAAATGATCTGGAAACACTGAAGTTGCTGCATCTTTGGGCTGTTTTCTGAGACAGTTTTCTCTGTACTGTTCAAGAGTGACTCTTAGGTAGAAAGCAGGATGCTGAGTGTTTAGGCATATAATTAACTCCATTGTATTGAGTACTAAATGAAATAGGTCCCATTTTGGTCCAAGTTGTCATAGAGTAGTGTCAGGCCCCCTGAGACTACACCCAGGTTTTTGCTAAGAGGACTACTCCTGGCTAAGATTTATTACAATGAAAGTATATAAAACATCAGCAGAGGGAAAAGATACGTGGGCAAAGACCAGAAGAAACGAGGCATGATCTTCTAGGATCCTCCCAGTAAAATCTTACAGGTCGTGAGATTTCCCAGGAATAAAGCCTGACAACAGGAAGGAAGTATCTTCCAGGGAAGTTCACAAGACTCTCTGCCCACGGTTTTTATAGGGAGCTGCTCAAAGAGAGGCATGTACCAAAAATCCAGGCCCCCGGAAGGAAAGCAGGTATTCAGCCTAAACCACCTTGTTCATACAAATAGCTGAGCCACAGGGAACCCCTTGTGGTGGGCACCTTCCCTGTATCCAGCTTCCCAACTGCCAGCCAGGAGCCAGCTACTCATAGGCCTCTGCAAAGACACAATCTCAGACCTGCTGTGTGAACACTCTTCTGCATACACAAGTTCCACTGCAACCTCCAGGCAGCTCTCAGCAGGCCCCGGGGTCAGGAGCCATCCTTTCATCATGGGCAACCTTTGTCTATGCTTGTACCCAGGACAAGGCTGTGGCCGAGCCAGTCAGCCGCCTGCTGGAAAGCACACTGAGGAGCAGCTACCTGCCCAGCAGGATCGCAGCCCTGCACGGTGCCCTCTACGTGCTGGAGTGTGATCTCCTGGACGACACCGCAAAGCAGCTCATCCCAGTCCTCAGTGACTACCTTCTCTCCAACCTCAAAGGAGTAGCCCAGTAAGTGGAGGCTGGCAGGGTGGGGTAGGGCTCTTGGAATGGGCTGTGGAAAGAGCATTGTGATGCTTTTCAAAAAGCGCATGCTAGATCCCTGGCCAGAAGGCGGTAGATGTTGGCAAGAACCTACATAGGCACTATATCTTCTCATGGGGATGATGGCTGGTACTTAATGTGCTCCTCTGAGCATCGCTTTGTGAGGACAGGAGCTCTCAGTCTCTGCCTGCTCAAACTGCTTGTTGTCCAGACCCAGCTTTCTCTCCATGCTTCCCTGGGTCTGTGTCCTGTACTGCAGCCAGCATGACTCCCTTATTTCCACTCTGATCTCAACCTCGCCTCTCTTAAAGCAGATCCACTTATGGTTCTGTATAGATGTGTTACTGCTAAACAGAACCCCTTAGAAAGTAAGACAAGCTCATTACGACCATGTCCCGGAAGCTTGGGGAAGCACTTTGACAGGCAGTCCCACCTCTACTCTCCTGGGACACAGACTCGGGATGGGGAAGCCAGCCTTTTCTGCCTATGGAGCGGGTGTCTGTCCTTTCTGGTGGTGGGTGCCAGTTCTTATTCAGGGTTAGTCTGGGCAGGGGCGCATGTTGGTGACTTTTTGGGAAGTATTTGGAATAGGCTAGAGCCACAGGTCCTTGCCTTCATCCTGGCCATAGGTGACATAAGCCTGTCGGAAGGCACTTCTTGTCTGTCATCCTCACTGGATGGTGTGCCGAGGTGAGCTAGGCAAGTAGACAACTGGCTCCTGTCTTGTGTGCCCAGAGCTTGACAGGTGGTGGAGGACAGGAGCTCTTAGGACATGACCTCCAGGGCCTAGAGCAGTCGCATGGGGCGGCTCCCCACAAGCTTCTGCGGCCCATGGCTCTGTATGCACAGATTAGGGGCTGGGCCTGGTGAGTTCAGGCACACAGGGAAACCCAGTCTCCACTTTGGACTGGAAGGGCTGCCGTGTGTGACGGACTTGGCTATCATCTATTTTCAGCTGCGTGAACATCCACAGCCAGCAGCACGTGCTGGTGATGTGTGCCACTGCCTTCTACTTAATTGAGAATTATCCTCTGGACGTAGGGCCAGAATTCTCGGCATCAGTTATACAGGTGAGCAGACCCCGGTGGGCCCTCCCAGACATGGGGATTGGGTTTCCGTGAACTTCTCCTTCTAGGATTGCAGCAGAAGTTAGTTGAGATTTGGGAAGCAAGCAAGGATGACGTGAGACCTTGCGTTGCTTCTCTGACTTGGAAGCCTGCCTTCTCACTCAGATGTGTGGAGTGATGCTCTCAGGAAGTGAGGAGTCCACTCCCTCCATCGTTTACCACTGCGCCCTTAGAGGCCTCGAGCGCCTCCTGCTCTCTGAGCAGCTGTCTCGGCTGGATGCAGAATCCCTGGTCAAGCTGAGCGTGGACAGAGTGAACGTGCACAGCCCGCATCGGGCTATGGCAGCCTTGGGTCTGATGCTTACCTGCATGTACACAGGTGAGCAGATGTGAGGGAGGGGAATCACCCAACACTGCTGCACCCATCAGCATGGGTAGCACAACTCCCTTGAGGGTGTCTCTGAGCCACTAACTTTAGTATTGTCTTAAGCCAACCCTGTCCTTTATGGGGCAGGCTCTAGGGCCCAGGGCAGGGGGTAACCAGCATGACCGCACATCTCTGTGTGTAGGTGTCCGAAGTAGCCTGTAACCATAGCCTCCCATGCAGCTGAACAGTGGGGAACTGAACAGCATCCTGAGCTAGCTAGGGGCCCCTACCACTTGCTTTCAGATTATTGCTCAGGACTCATTAAACTGTGAACAAGGCACTGACTGCAGAGCCTTTTGGGTTTTATAAATCACATAACCTTTTTGCTGAATGCTTTTGTTTCAGGAAAGGAGAAAATCAGTCCAGGTAGAACCTCTGACCCTAACCCTGCAGCTCCGGACAGCGAGTCAGTGATTGTGGCTATGGAGCGGGTATCTGTTCTTTTTGATAGGTAAGAAGAGAAGCTCACCCTTAACCATTAACTGCCCTGGAAGGGGAGCCAGAAGCAGTTGCCTTTGTGCTACCTTTGCTTACTTTTGCGTCGTTGCTGTGGTCCCTCCAGTGTTTTCCCAGCACACCTAGACCATGGGCTGGCTTGGGTCGGGCTCTGTCAGTGAGTGGGCAGTCCTTGGACCCAGCACTCAGGAGTGTGGTGTTGATCAGCTCCAAGGTTATCCAAGGTGCTTGCCTATCTCCCCTGACAGCCAGAGGGACAGGACCAGCAGTTGCTAGTGTTGGCAGTGCACATGAGAGGGCTGTGCGTGGATGAGCCCTCTGAGCGGACTGGGCATGGATAGAGGCTGACCAGTGACAAAAGACACTACCTGTCATGAGGAGCAGCTTTTGGGCAAAGCAGAGTCCTACTCTCACCTTCAGGTGCCATGGGAAGAAGCACACAGCCCCTGGGAACATTATTGAGAACAACATTAAGAAGTGGGAAAGTTAAAACATAAACAAGAGCATCATCGAGAGCATGCATAATCTGTGGCTTAACCTCACTTGCGTGCATTTCTGTTCAGAATTGGCTTTGCTTACTATAAATAGTTTTGGGAAAAAAAGAGTTAGGTGCCTTGTCAGAACTTTTTTTTTTTTTTTTTAATAATTTTCAATTTAATTCCATTTGTTTTTGTTCTGTTTTCAATTTCTCCAGAGAGAGACCGAGAGAGGGAAAGGGAAAGCAAGAAAGCCAGCCACCAGGTCCAGGTCTCGACCACGGTCGGCCATATGGGAATCGAGCGCCTTTAACCACCACACCACCTGCTGGCCCCATCAGACTTTTTTTTTTTTTTTTAAGGATAAGGCCTCATATGGGGCTGACAGGTAGCGTGGTGGCTAAGAGCGCTGAATTCCCACTTGGTCAACTCTGGTTCTAGTCCCGTACCTGGCGGCTTGCTCTCTCACTTTCTCTCACTCTTGCTCTCGCTCTGTCCCTCTCTGGTCAAATTAAAAGAAAGAAAGAAAGTTTAAAATAGTTCTTTTAAATAAATAAATAAATAGTTTAAAATAAAAGATATAAGGCCTCATATTTTGCTCTCTGGCCTCAGTTCTGCAACGTTATAGATCCGTGGCTTTATCACACTGCTTAGCCTCTGCTCTCCACCCAAGCCACTGAGAAGTGACTGTTGTTTCTAAAGAGCATGCTCAGAAGATCTTCGCTTGTGTTCACTCTTTGGCCAGATGAGGTATTCTGGACAGCTGAGCATGTATTAGTCTATTTCCAAGTCAGATTTTTAAATGGGCCTTTACTATCCTCTGTTCCAAGCATCTCTATCACACACCAACTGCAGCTGACACTGGTGGCACCTGAGCACAGGGAGGTCTACAGCTGAGTCCCTGCCCTCATGTCGCTGAGGAAATACGTCCCAGTGAATGTGGTGCAGGTGTTCACTCAACCACTGCAAATGCCTTGGGGAACACACTGGTTGAGCTGACAGAAGACAGGTCTCAGTTGAGGGGTGTTTTCCAGGACAGCAGCCAGTCCCACTGCTAACAAGCACCTATAGACAAGCAGGGCCAGGTATACCCACAAGAAAGTGCAGTTCATCTCCTGCATCATTTCGATGCTTCTCAGTTACACAGTGGCGTGTGTGCTGCTAGGGTAGTGTGGTGGTGGTGTCTTCCACATCTGAAAGGGGCTGCCAAAGGGATGGATCTGAGGACCTTATAAGAGAAGGGTCAGCACAGAGGAGGGGCTGAGTTTAGTAAGAAGGAAAAAATCCTGGTTGACAGTAGTGCGACAAGACATTAGGACACATTATGTTGAAAAGTTTGTAGAACCGAAATTTTGACATGGAAAAAAAAATAATGAAAATAAGGTGTTTTTTAGCTAAAAATTCCTTGTATAATGTCATTACCCCAAACTTCTAAAAATTCCTTGTGTACTGTCATTACCCCCAACCACTCCTGCTTATTCCTACACAGGGTGTGGAGAGCTCCGATCCTGTGCTAAGCACACGCCCCTGTCTTAGCTTCCCTACTCTGGCCCCGCATGGAAAGTCCCTGAAGGGCAAGGGCACCGCCAAGCTCATGACAACATCCTAACCGCATTTCTGAGCAGGGTTTGGGGGAGGTGTGAGAAACCAGGGTGAACTCTGATCCATGTCCCTTTCTCCTAGGATCAGGAAGGGGTTTCCCTGTGAAGCCAGGGTGGTGGCAAGGATCCTGCCTCAGTTTTTAGATGACTTCTTCCCACCCCAGGATGTCATGAACAAAGTCATTGGAGAGTTTCTCTCCAACCAGCAGCCATACCCCCAGTTCATGGCCACCGTGGTATACAAGGTGAAGTATCTGTGTGGGACAGGGATGGGGCAGGAGAGGCCTGGAGATGGAGTTAAGTTCCAAAATTCCCAAGAGTTATGCCAGGAGGACCAACTCCTCTCCCTTAAAACAACCCTGGTTCTCCCTTCAAATGCCGGCCTCTTAGGGGAGTGAGCATACCCCCTCCTGCTGCCTTGTGTTCCAATGCTTAGGCTTCTTGATCCTCCACAGGTTTTCCAGACTCTGCACAGCACCGGACAGTCGTCCATGGTTCGTGACTGGGTCATGCTGTCCCTCTCCAATTTCACGCAGAGAACACCAGTTGCCATGGCCATGTGGAGTCTTTCGTGCTTCTTCGTCAGCGCTTCCACCAGCCCGTGGGTCTCAGCCATGTATCCTTCCCTGGGTTCCTGAGTGTTGATCCAGCTCTCTGTCTCCCTGTCCTTGCGCATTCTTCTGTCACCACCTGGGATCATGTTATGTTAAGCTTTCTGAAACCTAGCCTTGGTCAGAGCCCCAGAGATATCAGGGTGACATTTACCTAAGCCCCAAGGAGTAAAACGTTGATAGGACCCAGGAAACAGAATGTCCCACCATTTGCCACCCAGGGCTGCCCATGGCATGCTGGCGTGGGGCAGGAGAGTTGCTGCTGCTGAGCTGCTCTACAGGGGAGGAGTGGGGCTGGGGAGAACAAGGGCAGGGCTAGTTTCTATGGATACCCCATCTACTCGCTCCATCAGCTGGGATTTTTTTTTTTTTTTTGAGAGGTTTTTGCTATAGGGCACGTGCTCTCACCAGAAAGACAGAGACAGAGAGATAAAAAGCAAAAAATCACCCCCCAGGGGGGATGGCCATGCCACAATCCCTTCTCCTCCATTCTTCTCTCGGGATCTTAGGCATGCACACACGCCTGGCGTGAGTTTAAGCCACTGGATCTGGGACTCAAACCGTGGTCGACTACATGGGAGTCCAGCAACATAGCCGTTATGTCAACTGCTGGTCCCTCAGCTGGGATTTTCTCAGTGCTGCTTCTCATTAGCTTTTGTCATGGTGCCTCCATCACCCTCTTGGGGAAAGGCTTAAGTAAAGATCCAATTCCCACCCCAAAAATGCAGCTGCCAGGAGTTCCCCTTTTGGCAGTCTTCCCCTAAGACAGACCACAAGAGCCTCTGAGCAGTGCAGTCATCCTGGTGCCGACAGCACAGCCTCGCCCAGTGTGCCTGGGAGGGCTCGGGCAGCAGGGCAAGGCTCTGCTCTTGCTGCACTGGAGCAGGGCTAGCAGGAGCATCGGCCATCAGCTGCACAGGGAGCCGGGCCAGGTAAGTGCTGCAGAGCAGAGGTTGCCCAGCCAGCTCCCTGCCTGCCACTTCCAGCTAGGAAAAAATGGGAGGAGATGGAGGAGAGGGCTGCTGCTATTGCCATTCTTGAGGCTCCTTGGCCCTGGGGGCGCCAGTGAGGCAGTTAACTCACTTGCCAGCATTCTCCCTTAACTCCCCTGCCAGCCTTCCACACATCATCAGCAGGATGGGCAAACTGGAGCAGGTGGATGTGAACCTTTTCTGCTTGGTTGCCACAGACTTTTACAGACACCAGATAGAGGAGGAGCTGGATCGGAGAGCCTTTCAATCTGTGTTTGAGGTGGTCGCAGCCCCAGGAAGCCCGTATCATCGGCTACTGACTTGTTTGAGAAATGTCCACAAGGTTGCCACCTGTTGAGTGCCCATGGCCAGAGAGGCCTCGAGGAGGTGGCAGCTGGGGTCAGAGCCTCAACCCTGCACCAAGTGCCCCACCTCCCCAGGGGCTGGCTTGGTCACCGCAGGCTTCTCACGCCACTCGAGCGCAGAGTGGCAGACGGTGTGTGTGTCTGCCACGTGGCAGAAGCTCTCTTTGCAGCAAGTGACCGTGCTGGGCACATATGCAGTACTGTTGGGGTTGAGCCTGAGTCCTCACAGAGAGGAGGGGCAGCTGCACTGCTGGCTCTCAGATGTAGCTGGCTTCCATCTTGGTCGGCCAGGTGCCTGTCTGCTTCCTAATGTTCACCTGTTCGGTTGCAGCACGCTTACAGGTCGGCCATTAGCCCCCCTGGTCCCTTACAGGTGGAATGCACCACCAGCAGGCTTCAAGAGCACTGCTCCATGTCTCCCCCATGGGGTGCGCTTGCCGCGCCTGCTGTCTGGACAGACACTGCAGCATGTGCTGGGCCGGTGGCTGGGAGCACCAGACACCCAGCGCCATTCTCCTTTTCTCTGTTTTCTTCTCAGGATTTAATAATTACATCAGTAAAGAGATTAATTTTAACCTTAACTCCTCCTATGCCCTTGTAAAGTATGTGAGTTGCAAGGCCTGTGCTGCATGTGACAGCGTCTGTGGAAGTAGAGGGGAGCCTCTGAGTGCCACCCCTTCTCCCATAGCGACTCATCCTCTGTTGAACAGATCTCTCACATAACCCTGTTCCACCCAGTGACATTTCCTTTGCACATCCTCCTGTTTTACACATTCGCACTTAAGTAGGATGTAGGGAGGTGTTAAATGTTCAGGTGCCTACAGCAAGAATTCTCCCTGCGGCCCCATTCCAAGGACTGAGGAGAGGACCCCTCACTGTCCAGTGCATGGGAGCCCGTGACACCCTCCTCCTCAAACATGGACAACTTTCACATCCTCCACTTACCAGTTAGGTGTGACAACTCCCCAGTCACTTAGCAAACAAGGCCAGCCCACCTCGTGGTAAGCAGCCTGTGTTGTATGCAAAGACGCTGGCCTGATGGCCTCCAGTTTTGGTCCCGAGCTGGCTGTGGGCTGTGGTCTGCCTCAGAACTTGGCTAGTGGTGTTGGGAGTCCGTCCCATCCCCAGGGTCTCTTCTGCATGTTGGACCCAGATACATGCCTGGCCTTGGCAGCCCAGGGGTGTGGCTGAGCTATTTTGTCTGTGCCTCTCCTGGTCAAGAGCAAAGCTTGATGAATTGGCAGCTGTAGAGACAGATCCTTGTACTTCTTTTGCCTCCTTTCCACTCACATCAGACCTGGGCCCCCGTTCACCTCAGAAGAGGGCTGATCTGTGCCCACAGGAGCCCAGTGATGGGGCTGTATCTGTGGGCAGGAGTGAGTGGGGGAGTGGGGAAGGGACAATGACTGGTCAGTCCACAGCAGGAGACAACTACATCCCACCAGAGCCGCCACCTCTACTTACTCCAAGCCCCAATCCCTGGTGCAGTTTTTTTGTTTCCAGGCCCAAAGTAGCCAACTCATTAAAATGAAAAAAGAATCCTGGACAGTAGGGCTGCCCCTGATTAAGGAGCTTGATTTTGGAACTCTGCTTGCCTTTCGGCAGAGATGTGAGTGTTCTGCCTCCTCAGCCCCCAGAGGCAAGCCTAGCTGGTTTAGTGATTATCATGCTGGTTGTAGGTGACAGTCAGTGTTTCGGGTATTTAGTGTGGTAAGTGAAGATCATTTTGGAGCTGTTTTCCAGAGTCTAAAACAGGAGCAATCTATGGCTCTTCAATTACCGTTCACATCAGTCTGCATAGGTGCTGCCTTGAGACCCCTCTTGCCTCAGCAGTTGGAGGGCTGCTGGCATGCAGAGTTTCCCACCTCCCTTGCACACAAAGTCAAGGGGAGGCTTTTTCCTTCAGCTCCCAGCAGAGGCCTACCCTAGCCAAGACCATCCTAACCTGGTGCTGGGGCAGCAGAAATGGTAGAAATCAATTCAATTTTTGAGGAGGATCTTAAGGGGAGCTACTGAATTTTAATGAGAAGCACGAAAGTTACCTTTCTCCCTGTTGGTTTGGGACTCCCCCTTTCCATCCTAGCTTTTCTTCTAGAAAGCTTGCTAGAAGTGTCTGTGTATGAATTCTTAGAAGTCGCTGCTCTACCCTCACCTGCCTCCCCAGGTGGTTTCAGCAGCTCTGAGAGAGGCAGATCACAGGCTGGATGTTGTTCCTGGTTAGATGTTTACATTTGTGAGAAATAGCACTGTGAATGTAAAATTTGGAGCCATTCCCCTTAGAATTTGTGTCACTGGGCTCAGCACAGAGTTTAATTGGCCCGTTGTGTTTATTATGTTATTTAAAACAGTTCTTAGCAAGGGAGCTTAGAACCTAGCACCCTTCCCCACAGAGGCCTACTTTTGTGCTTCAGAGAGGAAATGAGTTTATAAGTAAAATTACTTCACCCATGTGTGAGGCTATATGTATGTGCATGTATCTACATCCTTAATTTTACACACACACACACACACACACACACACACACACACACCTCTCAAGACGAATATGCTAGGCCTCTAAGAGTGCCTGGAAGCTGACTTTATTAAACCTGCCACGGGAAGTCAGCTGCGAGACTCAGGCATCCAAGAGTGGGCTCAGTAGAAGCAGGGGTCATTGCGAATTTAAATCTTACTAGAAAAAAATAGCCCACCTTTTTGTCTCTCTGCAGAACAAATTGAGACATTATCAAATTCCTTAAAAAAAAAATTCTGTCCGCAAGCACCAATCATATTACCAATCCAGATTTCGTTGAAAATGTCATTAATTGGTTGTCGAGTTTTGGTGGGGAGGTGGGGCGGGAGAGTCGCTTTTGTTTTCTTGCTGGTAATATCAGGAAAGATTTCAGTGAAACCAGGGTAGAATTGTTTGGCGATGCACTTAAGCATGTTTCTTCTCCGAGAATGTGCCTCCCTTCCACTGCTGGCCCCGGCTAAGTCTATGTAGGTGAGTTTTCCAACTGCCAAGTGCCCTTTGTTATTATTCTCTCTCATTTTTGCCAGCACATGTACCCTTTCAAGAAGAAAGAGATAGAAGCCGAAACATCCCCAGTTACCCAGAATGTAGCATTGGGAAGATTCCATGCCCTAGAGGAACCACCCCCTCCCATAGTGGGTCACTGCAGAGTCTTTGGGCTGATGAACAACCCCTCCTCGTGGAGCTGGTCTCAGCCCCACTGTGGTGCACAGGTCTTAGATGCAGCAATAACTTGACTCATGGCTGCCTGGGGGGCCAGTGTGGTCTTGGGTCTCTATGTTTGGGGGAAGAGGAATTAGTCTACTCTTCCTACCTGTGAGCATCCTTCCTGGCACATGTCCTCAGCTGGGCTTTGCCCTTCTCTCCCTCTGCGGTAAGTGCCCCGGGTCATAGCTGCTGGTCAGGGCGGACTCAGGGTTACTCTTTGCTGGGATGACACATGGCGATGAGGAGGAAGACCTTGTGAGCCACCAGGTCTCAGTGGAGAGATTGGGGTGGCTCAGGTGAGAAGAGGACCGCCCTTTGCTGGGCCTGGTGCTGCTGGGAAGAAGGAACCTGCCCAGAGAGTTCCGCGAAACTGAAGGCGACCTGGAAGGTTCAGGGGCCATTCTTTTTCATATGCCCATCTTGCTTTAATGCAGTTGAAGGAACCACTCCCTCAAGTGTTTCCAGGAGCAGTCTCCCACTGCAAACTGTAGTGACTACTGGCCTTGAAGGGTCACGACACCATGGACCTCCCTACAGTGGTTTGGCACTGATCTAAGAGGGGCCTCCAGTCCAGGCCTCGCTTCGTGCTGCAGGCAGAGTGGCTGTCAGCAGGAGTCTGTACCCCGCTGGGAGCCAGCAGGGCTGTGATGGGCCAGTCCTGGAGCCCCTGCCCAGACCTGACTGTTTCCAAGAGCAGAAGGAAGGACTGACAAGATGTATATTTAAATTTTTTTAAACTGCTGCAAACATTGTACATCTGAATTAAAGGAAAATAAACCATCAATTGCTGTATGAGGCTTGCTTTACTGAAAAGCTTAACGTTGCGGAACTGGTGTTTGGTGAGATAGTCTCTGAGCTCTTTCTTTTCCAACAGGAACAGAAGCTGACTGCCACACCAGCCAAATGTCCAACATACACTGGGTCCCCTGCAGTCATGTCTGTATCCAGAGACTGTAGCAGGCCCCAGCCTGGCTGCCTGCGTGGGCAAGCCACAGTGGGTGGTCTTTCTAGCATTGACACAAGCAGCCAAACCCTAAGGTTAAGTGACATTGTAAGCTAATTACACAGAGGCCCCAGGCTATGTGCTCTTCATTTCTGCTTCCACATTTGGCCCAGGGCATGAGAGGGCTAGAGAAGGCTGATAGAGGGACCAGAGCTGTTTTCATTGAGCCGGATTGGCCTCGCTGATCCCTCTACCCCCTTGGCTGTGGGCACTCATGCTCCTACTGCCCCCCACAGCAACCAGCTTTTCCCACCTCTGGTCTGGCCTGGGCCAGTGTGTCTGCAATACCAGCCTCTGTCCATTCTCGCTTGTGATTCCTCACCTGAATATCACCTCCTCCAAGAAATCTCTGCTCAACTGAGTGGAAGGGCCTTCTTGTCTCTGGCTGAGCTCCTCCTCAGGAGCCCTGGTAGTTGGTCGTATAACTCTGGGATCCAGATTGTTTTTTACCCACCAACCTGCAAAAGCAAAATCCTTGGGCTGTGAGCCTGGGCAGTCATTGGTACATGTTTGCTGAGATGGTATCCCTCCAGGCTGATGGGCAGGAGCTGTCTACCCCTACCTTCAGTGGGGCAGGCCCTGCCATTGGTGCCAGGAGAGATGGGCAAGCCAGTCAGCTGACGGGTGCGACCCCACATAGGTCTTCTTGGGGTTGTACAGCTGCTCAGGCTACCTACTCTCCTGAGGCACAGGGTACCCATTCTCGGTACAGGGACAGTGGCTTCTTGGCCAGTGGGGCCTGGTGGATGGGCCCAGCCAGATTCAGTTTTCTCCTCGGTTGCTCTAATCATTTAATAAGGGGAGCGGGGCAGTCGCATCAGCTCCCTATATCTCTCTTCATCGGTGATAATTGCAGAGCCCTTCAGATCTATCCAAGTTCTGGTCACCAGCATTACAAAGTGTTCCTTTCTCCTGGTCCAGGTGTGGATAGCCAAGCCCTTGGCACACCTGAGGGCACCTGGCTTGACTTGGTATTTCCAGAAGGAACAGTGGTCCAGATCCAATGAAGAGGAGCAGCGAGCCTCTCCTGGTGAATGGGCTGTCTGCAGCTCGACCCCTGGCTTGCCTTGCATTCAGGGCTGCTCTAGGCAGAGGGCAAGGACCCGGTGCCACCCTTCTCCCCACTCCCCCACCAGAGGATGCTATGTCCACCCCACCATGGGGAGCTGAAAGAGGGCTCGAGCCATAGGATTTAGGATCCTGCTTCTGTACCCTTGCTAGACAGTTGTGCTCTGTGCCCTCGATGCAGTTTGCGTCTGGCTACAACTGGCTTTGTTCCAGAAGGAAGTTTAGTCTACGGCCATACCACTTTGTATGCGCCTGATCACATTTCATCTCAGAAGGAAGTTAAAAGTGGCTTCCCAAATGGGCAACCTGTAACACAAGGCAGATGAGTGGAGGGCCAGGGTGAGGTGAGCACGGGAAGCCACAGGTCAGAGTCCCGGTTCCCTGGGATTGATGTGGGGACCTCACCTCTACGAGATGTGGGGAAGCCCCTGCTTCAGCAGGCCAGGAGGCATATACGCACCTCTCTGGGCAGCCTGGCTGTGAGGCCTGGGGATGAGGCTTTCTCCAAGGGCTTATGAATCTGGCCAGAGAGCACTATCGGCTGTGTCCAGGCGCCTGACTTTGTGAACTTATTAAGACTTAAGGAAGCCATGAGCACCTCCCATCCCTTGGGTACCTCAGCCGCCAGGTTTGTGTCCTCTGGGAGCCCTGCAGGCAGGGGCAGCGCTTTCTCCACTCTACACAGGATGGGAGGGGCCACTGACCAGGCTTCTACTTACCCTGGCCTGGGGTGGGGGGGGTTACAGTTGTGGGTGCCCCTAGCAAAGCCGTTGAGTCAATGTTAGGCCTTACTCATCAAAGCAGAGGGATAAAAGTTAAAGATCTGGGTTCACATGGGCAAGAGGAATGGATGGCATGTGAGCTGGGCCTGCAGGCCCCTGCCCTCCGTGCTGGACTAGCGGCCAATCCTCAAGTGGGTCATGGCCCCTATCACCAAGAAGTCCACCTGTCTCCTGACACTGGCCCCATTTCTCCCCTTCTGGCTTCCCTTGTCTAGGGGAAGTCCATCTTCCTGACCTGCTCAAGGTCCCCACAGCTTGGGCCCTGTTGCCTCTGGGCCGAGGTTGGACTCGCCTCCATGTGCCACACACCTCCTTGCCTTTGCTTGGACCAAGTTCTATCCTGATGGCAGGCTTGGCTCAAGGATGCCTGGAGTCCCCTCAGTGGCTGCTCATTTCCTGCTCTGGGCTTCTGCGTCGGCCGAGTCCTGCCACCCCCACCAGAGGCAGTTGGGCTGGGCTGAGCAGATTCTCACAGATGCCAAGTGAAGAAGAGCAGAGGGGTGGACCCTGCCCCATTGTGCGGAGGGTAGGGAGACCAGAGAGCATGGGCTTTACCTGAGCACAGCAGGGCCAGGCTGGGCCTGACCCGGCCCTGGATCTCCCCCAGGGACCTGACCAGCCCTTTCTCCCTGCAGGTGCTGCTGGGTACTCAGTCCTGGGCTCTTTGCCTCCTGACCCTTCGTGACAGAGGCCCAGCAGGCCATGCAGCTGTGCCAAGGTATGGAGTCCTCAGCAGAAGGCAGACCACACCTTCCAGGAGGGGGCAACTGAGTGCTTGGTCCTGCCCTCCCACTGCCTGCCTAGTTCTCTCCTTAGTGGAGGCCCACAGTGAAGGCCCTGCTTTGCAAAGTGCCCCAGAGCTTACCCTGACTAGAGGCTTCCACTGCACTCAGCCTGGACATTAATTTTTTTTAAATGCCAGAAGGTACGTGCACACGCATGTAAGAGTGAGAGACCATGTGAGCACTCCCCCAGTGGGGCTGGTCGTGGCGCAAACCCCTTGGCTCAGTTTCCCTTCCTGTCGGGATCCTGGGCACGCACACATTCTTCAGCACGTTTTTAAGTCATCGGTCAGCCAGTGAGACCCAGCTTCCTCTGCACACACAGCCCCTTACTGCTGCACCACGGGATAGCTCGGACTTGAGCCTTTTACCCTCAGTCCCCAGAAATGCCGCCTGGGGTGGGGGGTGGTAAAGGCAGTTTGCTGCCAGGCTGGGCTCTGCTGCCAAGTGCCGACTGGGTACCTTTAGAGCCCTCATTGCAGAGCCCTGCGCATTGGCAGTGGTGCCCGCCAGCCAGCAGCTACTCCTCCAAAAACTGCACTCCAAGAACAAGGCAGATTTGTGGAAGGGGTGGAGGGTGACAGATCGGGGCCCTTCCACTTCTCCAGGGCCTTGTAGGGACTGTGCGGCCTTGGCTGGCGCCGTGTTAAGGGGTCATCGTCATCTAGCCAGGTCCTGTCACTCTGGGTTTAGGGGTGGCTGTTACTAAGTCACACACTGAGAACTGCTGGGCCCCCAGGCTGTGGTCTGCCTGCCTTTCACTTCAGTGCCCTTCACTGTCGCTGTGCGCTGACAGTCGGCCCCACCTTTACCCTCAAGGTCCTAACCTCACTAGAAAGAATCCAACTGTGCCTGAGGATGGGGGGGGGCTTCCTGGGGGTGGGCCTTCTGGGCACTCATTCACTCTGTAGACACTCCAGAGGGCTCTCTGCCAGTCCCTGGGCCCCGTGCTGTACACTAGGGGGCAGCAGCCAGTCAGCATAACCAAGGACTGACCTTGACAGAGTAGGGAGGCTGGGGCTCCTTCAGAAGTGGAAATTCACGAGGCCTCCTAGGAGGTACCAAATGGCCAGGAAGTAGGGAGGTGACCCTAGATCTTTAGGTGAGCTCTGAGGCGCCTAGGAAGGGGCTCGAGGAATCCCTCAGGGAGCTGATAGCAGGGTCAGGCTTTGACCCGGGAATCCTGTGGAAGGCGTGCAGAGGCCCCTCTGAGCTCTGAGCAAATCCTTAGGGGCTGTCCACTCACCCCTGTTGCCCTCTAATGTACCGCCCTCTGTTATGCACAGATGAGGCAGCTCAGGCAAAGGGCTGAGCACCCAGCCAAGGCCCTGCCCTGCCTCCCGATAGTCTCTGCTACTCCCTCGGCCTTCTCAGAGGACATCAGGGTACCTGGCAGGAGCTCAGAGATGCCTCCTTTTCTAGGCTTAGCTCCCCCTGTGATGAATCACTCAGACCTAAGCCTCTCCTTGGGTTCAGTCAGGTGGGCACGGGCACTGCATTCCCTCTGCTGGCCACAGACATTTCCAGCCTGGACACCAGGCAGGACCACCGGCAGGGTACACCGGGCTCATGGACACCAGAACTGAACCTGCTCAGATGCCTCAGGCTCAGAGTCTTGTTTGATTTTATTTATTTATTTTTTTGAGTTTTGCCATAGGGCGTGTGTGCTTACTGGAAAGAAAGGAAAAATCATCCACCAGGGGGAATGGCCATGCACAATTCCTTCTCCCTTCTCCTCTTGGGATTTCAGGTGCATGTATGCACACGCCCGGTATGATTCCCAAGCCACTGAGTCTGGGACTCGAACCATGATCGGCCATTTCGGAATCCAGCACTTTAACTACCACACCACCTGCTGGCCCCTGATTTTTTTTTTTTTTTTTTTTTTTTTTACATTTTGGATGTAAGTCCCTCGGGTGGTCCCTTCTCTCTACACACTCCGAGGGGCTCCACCACTCCTGGTCTCCCACCCCAGGCGTCAGATGGAGGATCCCTGAGCAGCCTGTGGACATTTCAGCCTCTCAGCCCTGCAGAAACAGTGGACCTTGCCCCAGCCAGGCCTGCGAGCCCGCCTTTCTGCACTGCCACTCCTGTACAGTCACAGTCTCACTGCACTTAACTCCTGTGTGCTCTGTTCCGTGCTCTGCCTCACCGCCCTGTGCCCTTTTCTTGGTTGACCTGGCCAGTTCCTCCTTGTCTCTCAGCAGAGCTGGATTTACTATTTGAAGCTGCCTGCCTACCCAGTGCTGGAGGTCAGTGTCTGTGTCCCCCTCACCTGCTCCACCAGGCAGGACCGGACTCTGACTGGCCTGAGTTCCTAGTGGCCACACAGCCAGAGGTCTAGGTGTTTGTCAGACGGAGCAAGAGAAGCAAAGAGTGAATGCTGGGAGAGGAAGCGCCTGGTGAGGCTCCCAGGCACGTGTTGGGAGTGGCTGGCCCTCAAGATCTGGGATCCAGCCTCAGTTAAGCCTGGCACAATCTTCAGAGGGAGGTTGAGGGTCCCATAGCCAGGGACCCCACCAGTGCCAGCAGCCACTTCATCTAGGCTTGTCTCATCTTCTCTGTCTCCCCCAGCCTTGACTCCTGACCGTTCCTCCCTGATTCGCCCCACTCCAGCTTCCTTTCTTGGGCTCTCTCTGGGCCCCTGCCAGCCCCAAGCCAGGGTGGGGCCGACATGGGGGCTGTCACCTGGATCACACTGTCCGGAGTCTGGGTTCAAGCACCTCTCTCCATGTGGCCAGTGGGCCTGGCAGCCAGGGTGGGGTGTGAGGCAGGGTGGGGAGCCAGGAGCCGGGCAGCCAGGTTTGGTTGGGGCCCGGCCCGCTCACTGCAATATTGATGGCCCATCAGTGCGGCCCTGATTCCTGTGCTTTCAGTTAAAAGGTTTCTGTTGTTGTAGCTTATGCCGTTGCTCTGTTGCTATGGAAACGTGACATCAAAATGACGTTTCCTGTTTAAAAGCTTTTAACTAAATTCCTGCCTGTCAGATGTAGGCCCCATTTTGAGCGCGGAGCTGCCTTCGAGCTGGGAGCAGTGGCTGCCTCCCGCCCATGGTGCACAGGGCTGGGCCTGGGGCCTCGCCTGAGCGCGGTCTTTAACCCCGCAGGTGCCTCCAGCATGGCAGCAGCCGAAGTGCCCAGCTACCTCGTGTCTCCTCAGACGGAGAAGCACCGGCGGGCCCGCAACTGGACCGACGCGGAGATGCGCGGCCTCATGCTCGTCTGGGAGGAGTTCTTCGACGAGCTCAAGCAGACCAAGCGCAACGCCAAGGTGTACGAGAAGATGGCCAGCAAGCTCTTCGAGATGACGGGCGAGCGCCGGCTGGGCGAGGAGATCAAGATCAAAATCACCAACATGACCTTCCAGTACAGGTAGGCACCTCTGTGGCCGTCCGCCTCCTAGGACCAGCGGCTGGCTGTGTGGCCCGGGGTCCTTCCCGGGACAGGGCAGCCTGGCTGTGCCCAGGAGGAGCCCAGGCTGATGTGGGCCGCTCCTGGCTTTCTCGGGGCCCTGAGTCAGAAGGGTGTGTGAGGCTGGGGATAGGTGGCCTGCCTGTCACTCCCCTTTGGCTTTGTGTGGCCAGAGCCTCACAAGGTGAGATTGGGCCTACGGTGCAGTTTCTGACTGGACAGGTAGGGAAACTGAGGCCCAGCCAAGGCAGGAAACTGGCCAAAGCGCTGTAGGAGCGACCAGACTAGGACTGATCTCTACCTTCTAGGCCTGGGGCCAGTGTTGGCTGAGACCAGACTGGGTCCAAGGACACTCGCTAGACCAGCTCTCCGCCCTCCAGGACACCTCAGACGTGGGCACTGGTGCAGGTGGCACCACCTGACCTGTACATGCTTTCCCACCCCACTGGAGACCACAGACCCTGACTCTGCCCTACCCTCCATCATAGTCCCCAGACCCAGCAGGAGTGTCGGGTCCTGCTGGACAGGTGGAGGAACTGAAGCCAGAGTGAGAAGGAGGCTCGGTCCCCCAGGGCTGTCCGGCCCTCTGTGTCTGGTCCTGACCCTCTGACTTTCAGCCTCCACTGGCCTCTGCCATGAGCTCAGCTCAGGGCTGGGGAAAGGGCCATTTAGGGCTGATACCAGGTTCCCTGGGGTGCCCAGAACAGTGTCCTACTCCTGGGCAGGAGCTCATTGGTAGGAGAAGCGGAGCCCCAGCACCCCTGCCCCCGGGATTCCTGGGATGAAGGTCTCCAGACCTGGCTCACACCTGTGCTCTCACCAGGTCCCAGGCTAGCCTTCTCTGCCCTGGCAGCCTGAAGGGGAAGCTAGAGAGGCTCCCAGGCCAGGGGCAGCTGTTACAGCCAGGAGGGGGCAGGTGGGGCTGCACGCCCAGCAACTCCAAATGCACTGGCCCCTGGGCCAGCTGGAGAGTGCCGGGGACAGGGCAGAGGGGACATAGGCATGAGGAGAGTCATGGGAGGGGGGCGTGGTCTTGCCTGGGGTGAAGGTCTTGGACTGGGAGGGTGGCAGCAGGAGCTGGAGGCTGTGTGGGTAACAGAGGCTAAGAGCACCTGGGCCCATGGGTGGTCTGAGCAGGGCCGGGCCTGGGACTGCCTGAGAGTCAGTGTCCCAGAATGAGAGGAGCTGTCCCAAGGGACTGGGTGAGGAGACAGCCCCCAGTGAGCAGGAGGGCCTTGGCCCCCCGGCTGTGGCACCTGGTCTGTGACAAACAAGAGGCTCAGCAGGGCCCTTGGACAGACCACAAGGCCACAGAGGCTCCATTTTTAGTTGTGTCAATTTGAACTTTTTATGACCTTTGGAGGAACGGGTGCAGAGCCAGCACTGTCCTAAGGCCCATTTCTGATTCACGGCCCAAGCCCCAGCCAGGCACAGCTGCCAGAACAGAGGTAGCTGCTCAGGGTCTGGCCTTGGTGTCACTCAGTGTAAATGAGGTTAAATTTGAGCCGCCGGCTCCTAATGTGAGGTGAGGTGTGTTTGGGCCCTGCAGAGGCACACGTGCACGCAGCTTCTATGGCCTGGCCTCCCTGGATACCCCGGCTCCCATTCAGGTGTCTGGTGAGGAGTGAACTCGGGGGGCAGTGGGAGGTGGCATCGGCTGTTTTACCAGCCTCCCCTCTGACTCAGTAATTCACAGATGATGCCTCCCAGGCTAGCTCTGACTGGAGTCTGGCCGGGTTATTCATTATTTATCCTGAAAGCCTTCTTCGGAGTCCCAGGGGAGGGATTCTGTCTCCATTCCTAGAGGCCCAGGAGAGGAGGGTGCGGAGGAGCCGGGGCCTCCACTCTCGCCCCTGCAGTAAGGGGCATGACTACTGCACTTCGCGGGTTACGACACACTTGCAGCCTGTGGCTCCTCACAGCCTTTTTCACCAGGGGGAAACTGAGGCCCAGAGTAAGAAAGGAACTTGCCCAGGACCTCACAGTCCTTCATAAACTGGGTGACTAGTTCTTCATTAATCCACCCCTTGCCCAGAGTCTCCCCATTGAAGAGGCTTTTCTTTTCTTTTTTATAAGAGCTCTTTATATATTAAGGCTGTCAGGCTAAGGAAGCCTGAGAGGGCAGCTGGGTTCCATGGAGCGAGCTTTGCTGGATGCCCCTTGGGGCCCCTTTGTACTGGGGACAGGTCTTTCCTCATGTCTCTAAGGAGTAGGTTGGCTTGAATGAACCAGGAAAAGAGCTGGGGGCTTCTGGGAGCACTGGGGAGGAGCCTGCAGTGGATGCCAGACATAAACCCTCGCCTCTCTGTGCCGGTGTCCGCGTAGCCTCGGCCCCAGAGTGGGTGGGTGGTGTACCTCCAGTTGCAAATACGGAGCAGCCTATGCCCTCCCCGGTGTGATTT